TCAAATGGATTTTGGCCTTTTATGTTGTCTAGTCTCCGAAAGGTTCATAAAATAGAACTGGAGCCCATAAACAAAAAGTGTCAAAGCACAAGTTGTTTACAGCTTATCCAGGAAATGCCAATCAGCCTGGATAAATTAAATCAACCCACTATGTCATCCTTAAGTTCCTCACTGGCACATCACCGTTGGGACTGGAATTGATCTTGACCATCTAGAGTATGAAAGTTCAATTCTGGCAAAACAGGTGCCAGTGTGCACTAAGTCCAGCTCCAGCAGTTTAAGGCAGGCTACAGATCCAGATACACCTAAAAGTTAACATTCCTTTGTGCTTGCCACAATAACTGGTCATCAAAAATAGAACTGAATGTATTAATTAGAAAATGATGTCAAGGATTTACAGAACAGACCTCCAAAGTACAAAGAAATATCAGGCAAAAGTCATTCATATATATATATATAGCATATAAATACATAAAAACAACAATATTGAGTTACTTTTTCACAGGACTTTATTGGTATTTATGTCCTCAAAGTTGCATGCAACTTTATTGCAAGCATATTTCAATTTTTCCAGTTCTTAATCGCAAAACACATGCTGAGGATTGAACTTATAATAAATTTCTTCCTCAGTTCTACCTGTTCCAGTCAATGTTTCTTCATTACAGCAATGTCAACAAAGTTAGATTTTATCCAGAGATTACATAAAGGGGTCTCAAAAATTAATGGAAAACTTCCATGATTTATTTTATTCCATTTTTACATGAAAATGTTAAGTTCTCTTATAGAATAGAATATAAAATCTATATTTGAATCATGGGCACTTACTTTTTCTGAGTTCTTTCAGCCAATCTTGCAATCTCTATAGCTGCCTTTCTTGAGTCAAAATCTTCCCTTTTCACCACCTCTCCAGTCCCTCGGTATCCTAGTTCCACCAACTGTCTGGCCAGGCTTTCATCCTAAAGAGAAAATTTATTGTTAGATTTAGGTGAATGAAGCTTCTTATTTTATTGAGCATATGTTAAGTGCCTTAGTGCTGCTAAGACCTTAGTACACATTGCTAAGTCCTAGTGTATGGTGCCTAGTTGATCTATGTACAGGTTCCTCATGAGCAGTCTTCACAATGTTATTCTTATGTATTCTGGTCCACATAGCCAAATACCTTTGGTCAATGAAACACAAGTAAACTGCTTTCTGCCAACATCTATCAGACATCAACACTGATAATACCTCCTTCCACATCCTCTTTTGAATCCAGCTTGAGTTTCTGCCAGTTTCCTATTGATGTATTGTTACAGTTGTTGAATTATATTCATCAAAATTTTACTTTCATGTGATATTAATGATATTAATTCACCAATTTCCATATTCTGTTGGATCACATTTCATTGTAATGGGCACAGATAAAGGTTAGGATTTACAACAAGTATTTTGTTGTTGTCATCAAGTCAGTTTCAACTCATAGCGACCCTATGCACAACAGGATAAAACACTGTCCGTTTCTGCACCATACTCACAATTGTTGATATGATTGATAACATTGCTGCAGCCATTGTGCCAGTCCACTGGGGTTCTTCCTCTTTTACAGTGACCCTCCACTTTATTAAACATGATGCTCTTCTCCAGGGTCTGGTACCTCTTGATAATATGTCTGAAATATGAGAGATGAAGTCTCGCCATCCTTGCTTCTAACCAGAATTCTTGGCTGTACTTCTTCCATTTTTGTTGTTGTTGTTGTTTTTCTTCTGGCAGTCCATCATGCTTTCAATATTCTTTTCCAAAACCTTAATTCAAACACATCAATTTCTATACAGTCTTCCCTATTCATTATCCTACTTTCACATGCTTATATGGTAAGTCAAAAAACATCATGGTTTGGGCCAGGTACATCTTAGTCTTCAAACTGATAACTTTTCTCGTGAACACTCTAAAGAGGCCTTGTGCAGCAGATTTTCCTGGTGCAATAAACATATATTTTGGAGAAACACAATTCAATTAATGTTGCTGCTGTTGCTAAACGTCATCAAGTTGGTCCGGACTCATAGCCACCATGTATAGGGTTTCCAAAGAGCAATTGGTAGATTTGAAACACTGACCTTTCAGTTATCGGTCTAGTGCTTATCCTACAGCACCAAACCAGGAATCCAATGCAACCCATAACACTAAGCTATTTTCTTAAATTAAAAAAATTGAAGGTATCATTTCCAAATGAAACAAAACCTAGTAAGTATTTTTTTTAGAATCTTTAGAACTAGATATAAAAATTTTTTTTAGAATTAGAATTATTTCCAACAATTCATTTATAAACACTGATTTAGTTGTCCCTTTCCCATATGTATAAAATGAGAAAAAGAAATAGCATCAAACGCCAAATTTTCTCTAAAAAATTGAAAAAGTCTGTTGTGTATTTAATACATTTCTAAGCACAGCTGTAGATACTTAATAGAGTATCTTTAAAACAATAAAATTAAAGACAATAGTGCTCATACAAGAAAGCCTTTTTTTTTTTTTTTTTTTTTTTTTTTTTAAGAAACAATTGCACAAAAAGAAAATTGGGCTGCTTCCAGCAAGTTCAGCATTTCAGAAACTCATTTCCCTTAGGACAATTAATTGATGGCACAGAGTATTATAACTTCAAATACTAAATAAAGAGGAGCAGATGAATTTACTAGAAAGATATTTCTTCCATATAATGTTGGTACCAATGAGAACAGAAAAGTAAAAACCCAACAAGCTTGACCACAAAACGCTTCAAACTGTATAAACAAAAATATGCCCACAATTAATTTAGGCCTTTTTTATTTATTATTATTATTACTTTAAGCATTGTCTTTTATATTTTTTTCACTTGCATATTATATTAAAATAAAATATTTCTTCACATTTTATATCTTCACAGAGATATCATTTTACAAAGTTACCTGGATAAAGACTGAATTAACAAATAAAATATTTAAATGTCCGTAGTGGTTACGAATGGGGCTGCGAGCTGCAAGGTCAGCAGTTGGAAACTACCAGCGGTTCCGCGGAAGAAAGATGAGGCGGTCTGCTCCCATAAAGATTTACAACCTCGGAAACCCTGTGTAGGGTCGCTATGAGTCGGAACCGACTCCACGGCACATAACAACAACAACATATTAATAATGGTCCTTACATTGTTGTTAAGTGCCTTTGAATTGGTTCTGACTCAGAGCAACCCTGTATGGAATTTCTGAGGAAAAACTGGTGAATTTGAACTGCCGATCTTCGGTTTGCAGTTATCCTACAGTGCCACACCAGGACCCCAGAACTTACGTTATCCTCTTAATAATAATACATTAAATATTTGGAATTTAGTGAAATTATCATGTATTTTATTGTAAAGATCCTTAATTAATGTATCATTGTTGAATGCAAGAGCTGTCTAAACTAATTTAATAAGAAAATTCAAGATGTCAAGTTAATAATCTATTTCAATCCATAGTGGCTATTTTAAAGTTCAAACTATTCAAACAGAAAACCACTATAAACCCAGAAAACTTGGGACTTTCCTTTGCAGAACATTAAAAGCAAATCTTGAATTATGAATAGCAATGTACATACATTTGCCGAGTTGTTAAAATGGAAAGTATCAGACATTCACAGGCCCATTTCTATTTGTCTAGCTTTTGACTTGTTCCCCTGCCTAATTGACTTCCCTTTCTTTAAACCCTTTGATGTGAAACACAAAATTGAGCAAATACCTCCACCTAGTGGAATTAAAATTTAATAGAGAAAGCAACTCAGGTTTTGGGTTTGATTTAGAAAACGTGAGTTAAATCAAGTATGGATTTTCTAAAATATATATTTTAAAGTGAGCTTATGAAAATGACTTTCAGTTTAGCTCTGTGAAACTGGTTATTTTTTAAGAATATATATCCCTATGATCCACAGAGTATTTTATGTAATAAAGACCACTAAAAAGTTGTATTTCTTTTGCATACAGAGTGAAGTGTGCAATATTGTGTATGTTCTAGGAACACACAAGTATTTGGATAATTTTATAATCACCATTACTAATGTATATTACAAAAAATGTCAAGATTTTTTGAGAAAACAAGTCAAATTAGGAACTACTGGCCTTAAATTGGGATCATAAATCAATCAGTCCTCAATTCATTCTTAGATGTTTGCATCTCTGGAAACATCCTAGTTAAGAGCAAAATGGCTACTCTAAAGAAGAATGGATATTCAAGAACACTTCATTGTGCTCATAAAGAACCTGTACATGGATCAAGAAGTAGTAACGGGGCACTGAATGGTTTAAAACACGGGAAGGTGTGTTTTAATCCAGGTGAGAAGCTGGATTCTATGAAGAAAAATGAGACATCAGGTTTGGAGGAAAACAGCGAAGAAAACTTAAAATACCTACTGATGAAAATCAAAGACCACAGCCTTCAGTATGGGTTGCACCTCAATGTAAAGAAAGCAAAAATCTTCACCACTGGGTCAATAAATAACATGATAAATGGAGAAAAGTTTGAAGTTGTCAAAGACTTAATTTTACTTGGATTCACTACCAACACTTATGGAAGCAGCACTCAAGAAATCAAACAACATATTTTATTTGGAAAATCTGTGGCACAAGACCTCTTTTAAGGGTTCAAGAGCAAAGGTGTCAATTTGAGGACTAAGTCATGATATTGTCAATCACCTCATAGGCATGTGAAAGTTGTTCAATGAATAAAGAAGGCCA